CTCAGGATCGCGCTGTCTCCTGGCACGGCCGCTCCAGACCCGTCGCCATCTTGGAATCTTCATAGGAATATCCCAATTGTGTTTAAAATGAGAGTTTCAGCTTTCCAGTCACACCAGGAAACTCTCAGCCTGGGACCTGTGCTCTTAAAGATACAGAGATACCAGACACTGAGGTGCCTAATGCTTACATTTAACTCACAAGACTTTGACCTGCCTTCTCACAGCTTTCAGTTCCCCTTGTGTTTTAGAGGCAAGAAATATCACACAGACTCGAAGGAAGACCTGCCACCCCGAATGCAGGAGCACCGCACGAAAGGTCAAGTTCTCACAGCTGTGAGTTGATCAAATCTGATTGATCTGAACCAGTTAAAGTCCCTCTGATAAGAACTGTATGGGGAAATCAGTGACTGAGTCCGGTGCTAGAGGTGAAAAGCGTGGTGGAAGATGACGGCATGAACATCAGTTATGACGTCGTGGTTACGGCCACATGGTTAGGTGAAAACTACCACACAGCAAGGCAGCTTCACCCCAGACCTGCTTTTCTTTTGGTCGTGAGATGACAGTGGCCTGTGGGGGGGATGACACTCTGAGAGCCAGCGTTGTCTCATGGGACAAATGTGGATGTGGCAAGGGCATGTGCTATAAACGATCTGACCCTTCTCCACCCAGCGAAATGGTGTTTTTCACTTGCAGCAAGACACCTCCTTCCTCTGGCTTCAATGCTGCCATCTGTGCAGGGAGGAAAGGTGTCTGGGTTTCCTGTGCCCTGGGTTTGTTAGGATTCAATGAGATTACGTGGGAGAAAATCCTCTGTGTTTCAGCATCACCCCATGACAGCATAAGACTGACTTTCTTGGGTTCTTCATGAATTATGAAGGTAGCTTCAAAGGAAGAGTAAATCTGAATAAAGACTGAATTGTTGGAAGGTTTAGATGTTCCCAAAAGTGGTCTCTTTGAAGGGCAACTAATTTGAACATTGATTTTTACTGGTGTGGGTTTGTTAAAAACCTAACTCTTCTTACTTTATAGTCTTACTTTGTGTGACACATCGTGTAGCTTTGTACAGTGATGAAGGCAGATGTTTTATGAATGATGTTCAAACATTATTAAAGTTAAGTGACAGGTTTCCAGAACCAAGGAAAAAGTGTTCCTGTTCAGAAAATGATGTTCAAGACATAAACAACAAGATATCTTTAGAACGGGAACCTACTGTGATAAGATTTGGTACTATAATAGTATTGCAATTTAAAAGCATATTAATTTGACATATTAATATCAACATTTTATGAATATTAAATCCTAGTTAGTTAAAAATAGCTTTGGAAAAACAAGTTGACAATGCATATACAATTTTATTTTTCAAAGAAGTGTACAAACCCTAGTTTTCTTTTTGCAGTTAAATGGCAACTAAGAAACCCTATTTTATTTGACCACTTACTCCATCAGCATGTCTAGTTTTTAACTGTCTTCTCGTAGTTGGTATTTTAATTGGTTCTTGACATTCAGTATTTCTTGACAAGAACTTCCAAAGGGGTTGTGCTTCAAAAAACAAAATTTAATTCTATGCAGTAGCCACTTTTCATAAGTTTTGCACTGTCAACACCATGGATTCAATAACCTTAAAATGTTATGAGTGTAGGATCACTGTGATGGCATTGGAACAACCCTAAATTAAAGTTTTGTCTATGTTTCCATTATAAACCTCATTGTTTTCTTGGTTTGACATAATTCCAGGCATATTGGTCTAAATCTTGGCAAGCTTGCTAAACGATTATACCAGATGTTATTAGCAGTAGTTTTTCCTCTTAAACATTCTGAGTGAATCTCTTCTTTATGAAATGACAAAGTACCGGGTCTGGAACCCGGTAGCTGGGCAGGTGGGGGCAGTCATGTGAAAACCCTGTGTTTTTAGATTTTAGCAGATACAAATCCATAAAAAAATGCTAATCCAATTAGCATGTAAATAAAAACAGTAGGTAGATCTCCTCTCCTATGTTTCTGAATTTAATACATAGGTAGTATTTTTCTGGACTTTGATGGAAGCACTTTACCGGTGTTATAAAGCCCATCAAAATCCTTTGGGATAAATGAACACACACTGAAAATATTTCCTTCTACGCATTATCACTATGGAAAAGATGGGGCAAAACCTTATAAATACATTGGAAATTAGCTGCCCATGTTTTTGGAGGCGATGCCTCCGACTTCCTCTGCTTGGAATTGAACTGATTCCCTGCGGCGGAGACTCCCCAGGACTTGGGGGGACATAAACGGAGAAATGCAGTTTCCTTACATTGGTGTTTGGCAATTCTTTCCCCAAAGGTGGGCGACTTCCTCTGCTTGGAATTGAACTGATTCCCTGCGGCGGAGACTCCCCAGGACTTGGGGGGGCATAAACGGAGAAATGCAGTTTCCTTACATTGGTGTTTGGCAATTCTTTCCCCAAAGGTGGGGACGAGGACAGGCTTCAGCCAGCCCAGTCCCAGCATCTGGCGAGTGGAGGACGGCGGGACAGGGCTGCGAAGGGGGGGGCGCAGACTGGGCCCCGCGAATGGCCCCCGGAAAAGATGGGGCAAAACCTTATAAATACATTGGAAATTAGCTGCCCATGTTTTTGGAGGCGATGCCTCCGACTTCCTCTGCTTGGAATTGAACTGATTCCCTGCGGCGGAGACTCCCCAGGACTTGGGGGGGCATAAACGGAGAAATGCAGTTTCCTTACATTGGTGTTTGGCAATTCTTTCCCCAAAGGTGGGGACGAGGACAGGCTTCAGCCAGCCCAGTCCCAGCATCTGGCGAGTGGAGGACGGCGGGACAGGGCTGCGAAGGGGGGGGCGCAGACTGGGCCCCGCGAATGTCCCCCGCGAATGTCCCCTGCTCTGCAGGAGCCGCAGGGAGAGGCGCCGCCGCCACAGCCAGAGCCCGGCGGGTTCCCGGCTCCCCGAGTCCAGCGGGGTCGTCCCGGGAGTGTTTTAGTTCATGGACAGGCGACCTCGTCCCTCCTTCCACCTGCGTCCTCCACCTGCCCCGCGTGCAGCCCCTCGTCGCTGTGAGGCCGGCAGGGCCCGCTCGTGGGACGACCCTGCTCCGACAGTGCAGGTCAGCTGGCGGGTGGCCGAGGCGGGGCGTCGTGCTGCAGGACAGACTGCCATCGGACAGGTGGACCCCGGCGCACACCGTGGGGAGCGGAGCCCCGACGTGTCCCTCTGGAAACTTGCATTGCTCGTTGCACATCTTTGTGGAATCTAATTCCTCTGAAATACGGACAAGAGATGGGGGGTGGTGACTCTTCATGACAAATAAAGCTGCATTTACCGCGTGGCGAGCGTCCCGCGACCTGCGATGGCCTCGAAGCGCTTCGTGAGGCTGAAGCCCGGAGCGCCCCGGCCGACCCCTGGGCAGAGCCAGCCCCGTCTCTCCTGGCTGTGGTTCCTGCTCTCTCCAGGCCACAGTCAGCGCTGGCCTTGCCCAGGTCGCCAGGCTGCACCTGCAGGCCTCTGCCCTGTGCTCAGGCGGCTCTGCCCGCCCCCCTCCCGACCCCCGGGCCTGCCTGCCCCCACTGGGCTCCAGCCGGGACCTCCACTCTCGGCCTCTTGTGTCTCCCCCGCCCCCAACAGTCCCCCCACCCTTTCCCACCTGCTTCCAAGATGCCTTTCAAGTCCCTCAAAATCCCCTTTATTCCCTCTGCAAAAGACTCCAAGTTTCTCTTCCTTTGTAATTATTTCTCTTTTCCTTATAATTAAAAGTATACATTTTAAGATAATTTTAAACAATTATTATTCTCAGCATTTTGGATTTGTCTAATTAGTCATATAGTCATGAAATTGATTTTTATTTGTCTTTTTGCAACTGTTCATTTCTTCAGCATTTTATGGGGAGGTAATGGGGTTTAGGGAGCCAGGTTCAGAAAATAATTACCCTTTAATCCCTGTGTCTGGATAACACTGTCTAGAAGAACTGTCTTCACTGATAGAAAAGTCTTATAACCGGCACTGTCCAGAACAGGAGCCTCTACCGCAGGTGGCTGTTGTGAACTTAAAGGTAGCCGGTGTGAATGAGCAACCAAATTTCCAATATTTTGCTATTTAAATTAATTTACATGGGAATAGCTACACACGGCTAGTGGTTTCTGTGTGGGACTGCACAGGTCTAGAGGAAAACCGTGGGACTGCACAGGTCTAGAGGGAAACATGAACCTGCTCAGAGGGTTTTGCTTGAATTGCAGATGGGGCAAGTCACCAGCTCCGGTTCCTCGGAGTGGGCTGCTTTGCGTTGGTATGAAACGTGCAGGTTACAGCAGGGACGGTGTCTTCCTGTTGTGGGACTGCACAGGTCTAGAGGAAAACATGAACCTGCTCAGAGGGTTTTGCTTGAATTGCAGATGGGGCAAGTCACCAGCTCCGGTTCCTCCGAGTGGGCTGCTTTGCGTTGGTATGAAACGTGCAGGTTACAGCAGGGACGGTGTCTTCCTGTTAGTGCCTGGGAGGGGTGCAGGCGCCCAGCTGAGAGGTGTCAGATGAGGGACCACAGAAGCGGCCAGCAGTGGAGCCGGCAGGGCTTCCAGAACGTTCCCACCTATCTCTGAAGTTGTGCCTGTGCGTTTCAACAGCAGTGATAATTCTGAGTAGTGATGTGACAGCTCCGGGGGTCTCAGCTGTTCCCTCTCAGAGAACTGGGAAGAGCTTCTCCTGGAACGATGCCAGGCCCTGGCTATCTCATAATGTAAACAAAGACTGACAAAGCATTCGAGGAATCTGTTTTAGCACATAAATGAGGAGACAGGGATCAAGCCGCTTTCCTCTTCCAATGCCCGACCTGAGCCAGTACCACGTCTCCCACCAGCCAGGAGAAGATGCAAACCTGCCACAGGGCTGGGAAAGCAGGACAGATGAATGCGCTGGGAGGGACGTGGTGGCAAACCCTCCAGCCCCCCTCCAGGTGGATATGAAGCCCGTGGAGCTGGCATCCTGAAGAAAGAAGACCCAGCCCTGGCACCTGTGAGTGCCATGGTTGGAGTGACCCGAGTCCACGATCTTGGCTTGGGTCTGGTTGCCTCACAGATAGCACGGTGACCTCTGTGAACCTCGTCCCTTCATGGGTCAGAGGAGGAGCTAGGCCGGGTGTCCCCCAGGAAACTCTGTCTGTTCTCGGTGCCCTCATGAGCTTCTCCACTGAGCCATGGGCTCCAGCCCCACAGGCTCTGCACTTGCCCCTGGCATGTGAGCCAAGGCAGTCGGCTCTTTCCACCGCAGAGAAAGGAACTCAAACTCCCTCTCATGGGTTTCTTTCGCCTTGGTGGTGGTGGCGTGGGTGCGTGGTGGCAATGAATATGGGGGTGACAGTCTTCCTTAGAGCTTTCTATCTTCCCCCAGGGGACCCTCTCTGCTTGCCCAGTCGCTGGGCATGGCTGTTTGTCAACGACTGGCAAGAGGATTTTCAGCAGTTCCAGGGGGGTGCAGGAGAGCTGTCCAAGGACTGTCCCACCCTCGGGCTTGCTCCCGCAGCAGATGCTCCTTAAGAGCCTGCTCCTGTGCAGTCTCATCAGGACAAGCCAGAGGCCAGCTGGGTCTTCAGAACATTCAAACCATTTGCCCCATCAGCAGCTAAACAGTATTCAATTTGAAATCTTTACTGAGTGCACGTTTTGCCCCAGAAAGGGCAGGACGAATGAACACAGGCAGGCAGGACTAAAGGTGGGACGAGGTGAAGGGCACAGGAGATATTTAGAATAACATGAGGTCTCGGGGGATTTAGATGGAGACATGGAACTGGACACTGTTGGTCTCTGTTCAGAGATCAGAGACCCTCTGCTCCTTATACGATGCATTTATTATGTAACACTCTTAAAAAGGTACATCGTGGCTACTCCCTGCCCCTTCATGAGGGAGCAATTTTTCTTCCTCTGCTTGAGTGGAAGACAAGACATCTACTGAGCCTTTTCTTGGACTTGTTTCCAGTGAGGGTCTGTCTTTCTGTTTCCTATTTTTAATCCTTTAGTTATGCTTCTCAGTGGAAATGATTTTACCATAGAACACACAGTCTCCACTGAGGTTTGGCCAAGGAACAATTATCTGGTATCTCAGCTTTGGGAATCATTTCCTCCTGCTTTCCAGGTTCCTCTAATATTCTCTAACATGTATTTTAGTGTAATTTGTTCTAAACGCTTTGAAATGAGCAGGAGTCTCAAGAAAGAGGCCCTGGCTGAATGCCTTTGAAAATATCAAATGCGTTTGATATTCCAGGGGAAGAGAGGATGCAAGGAAAATGTGGCTGTCCATGGGTTGGCTTAGCTCATCCAGAAAATACTGAGGCTATAGGAAATGTACAAATGGCGTATGTTATAAAAATAGAGCTATAGTTTAAATAAAAAACAGTGGGCGCTGGGGTTATGGAGTGCCACTGCTGGACACTCGTATCACTTGGACACTGGGACCCACCGTGTTTCCGGCGTGCAGAGTCAGATGTTTAGGCAATGTTGCTGAACACTCGAACATTACTTGTTTTCAAGGCTGATTTCTACTTTCATTCTCTTTAATCTTGTCACTGGGGAATCCCTCTTCTGGTAGAACATATGTTTTTGACATGACTAAAGGTCAGACTTTGCCTGATCTTTGGTGTGTTTCAGACTAGAGGTGTGTGAACTAGGCATGAAATTCAAAGCATGCCACCGGGCGCAGGGAGAGTTGCACCTTCAGCTTGGAAGTTGGCCTGTTTTTTTCCAGCAGGGAGTTGCAAGTGTGTATTCCCACCTCAAGTTTAATTTTCTTCTGTATGTGAATGAAATATGTCTATGTGTTTCCCTGATTCGGACTTTTTCATGTGAGTCGCGTTTGGCTGTTTTATGCCAAGTCCTGCTATAACTCTTAGTTTGAAGCCCTGCGGAGCTGCACGTGCCATCTGCAGTAAGAAGCCGGAGGAGACTGAGCAGCACGCCGGACTGCGCCTCAGACCCCCCCCCGTGCTGGAACCCTGCACTTACCAGCCGCGTCACCACTGACCAGTCACTCCGTTTCCATTTTCTCATCTGCAAAATGGGAGTAATGATAATATTTAATGCAGAAGGCCACTAGGTGAAAGGAGATGATATGTGTGATGAAGTTTCCAGATCAATGCCCGGCCCATGTCAACTGCCATCCACATTTAATCTGTGAGTGCAGAAAAAATCAGATAAACCAGAGAGGGTTGAGCAGGAGAAGAAAACAGAAATGAGAGAAGAAGAGGTTAGAAGTAGGAAGAAAAAGGAAAATCCCTGATGTTAAAACTGTTTTCTATTTGATATGCCACATGCGTCCCGCTGGCTCATCAGGTGGGAAAGGAACACGCTCATGCTCTGGACTACGAAGGACCTGAGGCACTCCTGCGCTCGGCTCTCCACGGCCTTGGGTCTCTGTCATTCCGGTATTGCTGCATCTGTTTTCTCAAACCCCTGATTTTCCCCAGCCACTTGCCCTAGTAATTCTGTAATGACCCCTGCGTGATCACATGTGTGGAGCTCTTCAGGCAATGAACATTGAACAGCAGCTGGGGGCCAGACACTGCTGGGACATCGAGGCCACGTAAATGAAGACTTACTGTCCTCTGGGCACAAAAGCAGTTGGTGGAGTGTCCAATGTCATGTCGTCTCATGCCCCCAACTTGTATCATTCCACAGAGCGTTTGTCTGAGAAAATATGTAAATGGTTAATATCAGTCGGCATGTGCCTTGATTCTTATTGAGATCTTGGATGAGAAGCTGGTACTTTTGTTTTGTTTTTGGCAGCTGGCCAGTACAGGGACTGAACCCTGGATCTGGGTGTTATCAGCACCACGCTCTGACCAGCTGAGCTCTCCAGCCAGCCCAGGCACTTAACTGTCGCTGACCTAGTGAAGACAGGGCCTGAGGCCCAGTGGATCTCCTGCAAACACCTTTCAGTGATTACAAGTATGTTGAGACCCTCTGATAGCACAGGGATTGCTCGTAAAGGTGAAAGTTCAGCTGTCTTCTCCGCTTCAGTGTTTCACGGGGCGTTTGGGTCCTCTACCTTGTGAAGGCAGATCATCCCTGATTCATGAGAGCAATGACTGAACACTGAGTAAGGCAGTTTTTGTTGCCAAAGATAATTCTTGCATTAAAGTAACTCCATCCACATGGTGTCTTAGTACGGAGAATTTTAGAATAACAAAGTTCCTACCGAATGTCAAATAAACATAAATCTGGATCCGAAGAGGTTTCTTGAGTAATCTCCAAGAAGTACAAACAAGAAGCAAAAATACCAATTTTCATCACTGAAATTAGTATTGATGTAGAGGCAGGGAAGGAAAATAAATAAAAAAGAAATGTTTTGGGAGAGAGAAGAGAGCTTCAGAGACACAGCAGAATGTACACCCACCCTTAGCCATGGGGCTGGGGACGTGAGCTCGTCATGTGGAACAGGAAGTTGAGGAAGGAGCCACAGAGTTGTAGGAAAAGTTGGGTCAGGGAGGCAACAGCCAGTAAAGAGTCTATAAAAACACTTATGAAAGGTTTAATGTCCACCAGAACAGACAAGAAAGGGAGCATGGTAAATAAAAACAGCCACAGTGCTCACGTCTCCCGTTTTCATCCCGGGATCTTGTACCTGAGAGTTTCAGCAAGGTGATTGGGATTGGGTTCCTCTTGGTTGTATCCTGAGAGGCCTG